AAACAGAGCTTGCGCCTTGTTTAAAAGGTTAATTTAACCATGAGACCAGGTCTAGTAGATCAAATTTTATTTTTGGGTATAACTATGATATTAACAGATAGAAACTTTAACACTTCATTCTTTGAAGTAGCAGGAGGAGGTGATCCTATTTTATTCCAACATCTTTTTTGATTCTTCGGACACCCCGAGGTTACCTTTATAAGCCTCGTAATGTTGCTATATGCTGGAAAAGCTTCGAGAACTAGTTTTAAATACTTCATCTTTCTAGACACAGTAAAAAAGTTAAAACAATGAAGTCAATCAGCAGGTAAGACTAACATTAATAGTAGAACCTCAGAGACTATACGCAACAGTACTGAACATATAAAAAATATATCTATTCATGTACCTAGACACTTAAAACCTTTAAATGATGAACAACTTGGGCATTACTTAGCTGGACTAATAGACGGGGATGGACATTTTAGTTCTCAACAACAATTGGTAATTGTTTTTAGTTCAACAGATATTCAATTAGCTTATTATATAAAGAAAACAATAGGTTACGGTTATGTAAGAAAAGTTCAAGATCAAAATGACTACTTATATATCATATCTAATAAGGATGGTATATTAAAAGTAATCCATTTAATTAATAATAAATTGAGAACTGTTAATAAATATAATCAAGTTACTAATTTCTTAAAGGATTCAAACGAAAATTTAGAATTTGGTATGAATAATACTAAAGCTTTTGCTAATTATTGAATAGCAGGATTTTCTGATGCAGATGGTAGTTTTCATATTAATATTCTTAATAGAGAAGAAAGATCTAAACCTGAGATTAGATTGAACTTTCAAATAGTGGCTTCAGAGGAAAATTCTCTATTATTAATTAAAGAAGCATTTGGTGGTAACATAGGTTATAGTAAAAGTCATGATACTTACTTCTATGGATCAACTAGCTGAGGTTCAGCTAAAAAAGTAATAAGTTATTTTGATACTTATCATTTACAATCTAGTAAATATCTTCATTATCTTAAATGAAGAAAAGTATATATAATGTTACAAAGTCAAGATCATTTAACGGAACTTAGTTTAGGAAAAATCCAAAAGATACAAAAATCAATGAATAGAAGTTTAGTATAAGATAGAGTCCTAACAAAGACGGAAGTTTTTGAGTATTAATTTTAATAGTAGCCTCTGCTGCTAGCACAGCACAAAAAGACTATTAAGTTAATCAAAATAATTGTTACATTTTAATTATACCAGGTTTCGGTATAATTAGTACAACAATCTCAGCTAACTCAAGCAAACCTATATTCGGTAACATAGGTATGGTCATTCGTAGGCCTACGTTAACTAATAATGACGTTAAACCTCTTTATATGCTGGAAACCTCTAAGACCTTAAATACTAGTAATGTTAAATTTAATAGTGAAAAAGTTAAGGATATTACAATGAGTAATCAGCAGGTAAATAATAAGATATTTTTTATAATTAAGGATTTAAAATGTGTCTATTATAACCTCAGAGACTACACAAGAGGAATCTTTCTATTTGAAAGGTTAAGATATAGTCCAATATTTAATAAAAGTACTAAATTAAGGACATATAATAAGGTACCTGTAAATAAAGTATTAAGTAAAAATTTATCTATTAAACATTATTTACACAAACTAGATCCTAATTGGGTGACAGGATTTGTAGATGCTGAAGGTTGTTTTTCTGTAATAATAGAAATTCCCAGCGCAAGCTATGATTTGAAAAAAAAAGTAAGGGTTTCATTTGAAATAAATTTACATGAAAAAGATGAAGAAATTTTGAATAAAATTCAATATTTTTTCGGTGTAGGTGCTGTATATAATAGGCCTGATATAAAAAAATCAGTATATAGAGTAACTAATGTGAATTATATAAAAGATGTTATAATTCCTCATTTTACAAAATATCCTCTTATTAGTAAAAAAGCTATAGATTTTTTATTGTGATCTAAAGTAATAGAAATTATACTAAATAAAGAGCATTTAACTAAAGAAGGATTTTTATAAATTCTTTCTAACTATGCTTCAATAAACAGAGGAGTATCAAAAAAAGTTAAAAAATATTTTCCTGATATAATACCTAGAAATAGAGCAAATATATCTTTACCTGATAATTTAAACCCTCAATGGGTGTCAGGCTTTGTAGCCGGGGATGGAGGATTTTCTATTTATATTAGACAGGCTAAGGGTTATACCTTAACAGAAAATGTGTTTTGTATATTCCATATAGCTCAACACGTTAAAGATTTGGAATTAATGAAATTATTTATAAAATTTTTTGATTGTGGCTCTGTAAATGTAAGATCTAATACAGCAACTCCTAGGTGTGATTATTATGTTCAAGATACTACTCTTTTATTTGAAAAAATTTTACTACACTTTAATGCTTATCCTTTACTAAATCTAAAACAGGAAGATTATATTTGTTTTAAAGAATGTATGACTATTATTAAATTAAAACAACATTTAACTCAGATAGGTTTAAATAAAATTAAAAGCTTAAACTTAGAAATGAATTCTAATAGATTAAAATAATACTGTATTTACGTTAAATATCGCTACGCTATGTTATCTATAGGTATCTTAGGGTTTATCGTGTGAAGTCATCACATGTATACAGTAGGCTTAGATGTAGATACAAGAGCTTACTTCACAGCCGCTACATTAATAATTGCAGTTCCTACAGGAATAAAAATATTCTCATGATTAGCGACATGTTATGGAGGATCTATAAAAATGACACCCTCAATGTTATTCTCATTAGGTTTCGTATTCATGTTCACAATTGGAGGATTATTAAACCACTTGGTTCTCCCTTTAAAGACTGCTATATGCTGTAAACTTCTGACAATTATATTACTAGGGTATAGAATATACCCAGTGAAAATGTATAATTTTGAACAATCAGCAGGTAACCGTATCCCTGGCGGGATTAGGATATTTCAAAATATCTTAGTGGGAACCTCAGAGACTACACGCGGTCCCCGTATAATTAATATGGGAAGATATAGTCCATGAAATCAAAAATTAATTTAATCATTTAATCATAACTTTATATATAACAAAAATACTATTCGTTTTTATTCTACTTCTAATATTGAAAACAATACTAAATATCTACAACCTTTAAAAACATATGAGAATTTTAAAGAAAATAGACTTGATATTTTAAAAGAGCAAAAAGACAAATCAGGTGTATACTGTTTAATTAATAAAATTAACGGTAATGCTTATGTAGGAAGTTCTGTTAATTTAGCTTCTAGAATGAGAAATTATCTTAATACTACTTTTTTAAAAAGTAAACAAAATATTAATATGCCTATTGTTAAAGCTCTACTTAAATATAATCAAGAAAGCTTTACT